CCCCAAAACCCCAAAACCCCAAAACCCCAAAACCCCAAAACCCCAAAACCCCAAAATATCTAAATATAGTTGAAATAGGTATTATCTTGTATCGAACAGGTCATAGGGATTCTTCGGAGCAGGCATCATCCCTTTTGCTTGGGAAGCTATGGGTATTATAATCTCTCATACCTCTCATATTTCAAAGCCTGCCCAATTCTTCGATATTCTATATATTAATCCCATTTAGTACCTTTTCAATCACATTTTTGTGCTTCTTCTTGAAACTTCTGGATTTCTCAGTTGTGAAGGTGATACCTTTGAATCCAGACGGGTTGAATCCATTTTGGCTCTATATTAGGGTTTGATCAGAAGGACTAAATCAGCGGAAAGCATCAGACTGCTGTGTTACCCCAAATGTGGCTATATTATGAGCTGTTAGACATACTTTTTCTTTTAGTTTTATCTTCACTTGAATGTAAGTGGAAAATTGATTTCCTGAGACTATTTGTATTCATTCTAATCAGTGGTTGCTTGCCGTTATCTGATGTATTTGAGCTAGTTCTGTTAGTTTATAACTTAAATCCCTTACAGATCTTTCTTGGAGCCTCTCTCCTTCGCATCTATGTACTCAGAAGTAGCACGTACCTTTCTGGAGCCGTTGATAAACAGTTTCGCTTCTTCCTGGATAGTTTATGAGAGTAGGTGCCTTAACTTACTGTTCAACATTTTGTCCTTCATCCTAGAGACTTAAGAGCAAACCTTACTTCCTGTACTGAGTGTGCTGACGGACAAGTGCAGGACTCGAAGTCTGGATCAAGACATGGTTCAGATATTTTCTATACTTGGTTAGAGTATCCATACTTAAGCGATCCAAAATTTTGGTTTTTCTCCTTGATGTTCTGGAAGGAGTTCTTGATAGGTTTTGTTGGGATGGGCATTTCACTCAGTCTATGCTATTAGAGTCAAAGACATACATCTCATCATCTAACTCTTCACTCTCAATGCTGTCACTAAGAGATCAGTATGGATAAAATACCTGTCTAGGAAACTTTCAGTCTCTACTTTAGAGAAACTGGACATATGGTTGAGTTTAATCATAGTGCTCATATGTCCAAATGTTTGATTGTTTCTTTTTAAAGATCTTGGAACTTTCATGCCGTATCTTTTATCTAATATATCTTTAATTTTTCTGAACTGCTCATCATTGGCAATCTGGAAGGTGCCACCTATGCATGACCACTAGCTCTACTCTTATTTTCCTTGGCAATAATACAGTCAATGAACTTGAGGTTGTCATAACTCTGTGAATTTTCACATGCTTTTCGAGGAGTCTCATCCTTAGGTGGGAGAATGTCTACTCAACTTTACACCTAAAAGTCCTTACAGAAGTTTCTAAACCCAGTGATGCCTTTACGGCGGGAGTCTTGGATCTCAGGCAGGCTGTACTTAGGCTTTCCTCTTGTATCTTTATCAATAATCTTCTGGACCTGCTTAAGGCATCTCTTCTGGTATTTCTCGAATGAGGTGACTCTTTTGTGTGCCGTCTCCCTACGAGGCGAGAAGCAGTTAGTCGCTAAGCTAGGTTAGAAGCACGCTTACTTGAGTTAAAGCATTTGTTCGTGATAAAATCTGATTTCGAAGTTTTGAGATTAGTGATTTTGGGGGAATTCGTGATTTGAGTATCTGATATGATCAAGAGAGATGGTACTGAAGAAAATGGGAGGCTCTATGTTAGGCTGTGGTGAGAGAGATTTGGGCAGGATTAGCAAGTTCCGACTGTCCTCTTTTGAGGGAGGGAATTTTACAGATCCAATTTTTGTTAATTTTGGATCCGATTTGGTCTTTGGTTTAATTGATTTTTGGAGTTTTTTGAAATTGTGGTTATATTTTTGAGAGAATTTTGATTTTTCTGGTTTTTTGTAGTTTCTTGGATTGGCCATTTTTCTTGATTTTATAGGTTGTATCGGGCTTAGTGGAGACTTAGGCTCTGGAGTTATCAATGCAGAATATCTATCTGACTTCAAAGGACTACCAGGAGGTTGAAGAAACGAAGAATTATTTTGGAGTTTTCTATATTACACCTATTAAAGCTTCAAACATCTAATCTCCTCTTAAAAGTCCAAATAATCACTAAATACCCTCGTAGACTCTATAAAATTGATCTTTTGACTACCGGCACCCTAATTCCGAATGAAATGACCCATACTCTATCAATTTGGTTCTCACCTACAGCTTAGTCACTAGCACTTACACTCTAGTCTGGGTGTCAGCAGATTAATAGGACCCTGCAAGGCAAAGCTCTTCTTCATATCTCTTGACTTAATATTTGCTACAACTTGAGACTCTATAATTAACATATCTCCAAGTAAGGCTTACTCTTGCCTTACTGTTCAGGTGATCATGACTCTTATTTATAGAGATCTGATTGCTTGTCTTTATCTAAAGAAAATTATATAGCGAAAACTGGCTTAATCCGACACCTCATTACAAAAATAAGCCGTTGAGATTTAGGCTTCGAATCTGTAAATTTATAGCGATTTAGTATACTTTTGGGGGATTTTTAGCAAACCTCACAGACTAAAATGCAACAAAAAGGGGATATAAAGGGAATACTAGGCTTGGCATTAAGCCTGATGAAGCAAAAAGACTATTTCTTAGTAAAATACTCACAATATTCATCGGAGTCAACTTATCTTTGATAATTTTGTCTCTAATAGCAATAATTTTTCTAGAATTTCAATGCAATTAAGGCCCTACTTTGGCATGTTGTTCCACTTGGAGACTTCAAGAATGCTACAGATCATTAATGTGGAAAACTAGATGCACTAACCTAACCTGATTATTATACTTATCAAGTCAATCATTGAAGATGACTGTTTTCTCAAATTCCGTAATTATACGTTTTTCTTGCATTTTGGCATTCGGAGTCATAACTTTGACCTCTTATTTGATCTTCTGTAGGAAATTATCAAGTTTTTTAAGTGGTTCACAAAGATCCTTCTTTTCGTCTATGACGTTAAGAAGCACAGTACCTGGAGAGAGACGTCTGAGATAATCCATTTTTGCTACATTAGATCCAAACTTTTTCTTGACTAGTTTATTTAATAAAGAATGTGTCCACAAATTTTGCATTCACAAGCTGATCAAGAGTCTCTTTGATATCTTTGGGCTTCACTAACCCTAGTCTATTCAGGACTGTCTATAAAGGTATTCACTCAGAATATTTCTTTGCTAAATGTGTAACCCTGGTTGTAAACCCAAGTAGCAAGGTTACATCGCTTAACCAAGACCTGGGGCCAGAAGCCGCTCAGGTCTTGAAAGGCAATATAAGCTCTCTAAGTTTGTTTCGAAGCAGATTTCAGTAATTTCCAAGACTTTATTATAACTTAAGGGGTTCTTACATCATTCATATTTGAAAAATTATCTCAATTTTTGTTAATAATAATGGGGTTTTGGGGTTTTGGGGTTTTGGGGTTTTGGGGTTTTGGGGTTTTGGGG